CTCTCTCTCACGAGTCAGCGGCGACGGGGGGCTTGAAGCGGCGGCGGGGGATGAGGACGACGACGGATGGGGAGGTCCACGCCAGCGACGGACTTGACCAGCTTGCTTGTCCAGGCGCCCACAGCGGGGGAGGTCCACTCCTTCGACGGCTTCCCCCCTCCCCCTCTCTGTCTCTCTGTGTGGTGTCATCGGGAGAGCGAGCACAGCGGGGGCGGTGACAGAGTTCGCGGCGCACCCCGGCTCTCCGCCACCTCCTCGGCTCCGCCCGCCGCCGCGTCCTCCCCACGCTCCGCCACCGCCCGCACGCCGACTGCCGCGTCCTCCCCGCGCTCCGCCTCTCCGCCATGGCCGCCGCCGCTAGCGCCCAAGCGTCGTCCTCCACTCCTCCGTCGCTATCCTCATCGTCGTCGTCCACATCCCCCGCCGCCGCCGCCTCCGCATCACCCGCCGCTGCTCCGTGCCCCCTGCTGCCGCCGACCTGTGAGAGAGAGAGAATAGAGAGAGGAAGAGTGAGAGAGGAAGAGTGGAAGAGGAGTATGACAGGTGGGTCCTATATTTTTTAATAAATAGAATGCTGACTAGACTGCCACGCGGATTTCGTGGTTTATGGGGCTAATTCAGTCGACCACAATAGTTCGGAAAAGAAGTTTTTGTCAAGGCAGGCAATACATGCATGACTAAACTTTAGCGGTAGTAACAAGCCGGTTCAAGAAATGCCTTAACACTAACCCTATATTTAATAACTTAAAACATAAAGTTTACAAAAATTTAATTGGTTTCAATAGCTGTGAAACCGGAAAATAAAATTCAAAATGTTCCAAGCCCCTATTGGCTCATACTTTCTCATAGAACCACTGCTATGCTCGTGCTTTGCAATGTGATTGAAAGAACCACGAACGAATGGTTTTATGGAGTCCTTAGGTTTATTTTTGTGTGGAATAAAATATTAATTTTTGGTGGGACGTTTTTTTTTTTGGAAAAAGTTTGAATTACCCCTGGAACTTTTGTGGCAGTACAAATTACGTACCCCTCAATTAAAAAACCAGACATTCTTCACCCTCAACTTTCCATACCGGACGAATTACCCTCTTGCCGACTCTGCCACTTTAGATCTGTTTTGGTCTTACGTGGCACATATGTGATACTCCAGTTAGCATTAAAAAAGTAAAAAATGGTGGGGCCTACTTTTTAGTTCTGCCTCTTCTCTGGATCACCACATGTGGGCTACCTTTTTATATATTTTTATGTTGACTGGATTGCCACGTGTGTGCCACATAGGATTAAAATCGCTTTGAAGCCCGTCGAGAGGTATTTTGTCTAGTGTAAAAAGTTGAGGGCGAAAAATATCTGTTTTTGAATTGAGAGGATAATTTATACTACCACAATAGTTCAGAGGATAATTCGGGCTTTTTTTCCGTGTTATCTTAGTTGATAAGTGTACACATATACACACACCATATTCTAAACCATATTTTAAAGTGGATTCAGAGTGCGTGCAGATAGTGTGCAGATGCGGAGAGGATTGTTTTGGATATCGGAAATGGTACTGACTTAGTTCGGAAACGGATTAAATTTATTAGATGTTACGTGTATATACAATCAATACAACATCGAGTTAGCAATGCAAGGGACAACAATGCAATAATCATTAAAGGACTCATCATAATAAATACATTCTTAAGTTCTAAATACATGAATGAATGATGTCCGTAGTATGAAAATGTAGCTAGCAAGTGTGAGATGAAACGGTGAAAACCTCAAACAAAGGAGTTTAGGTTAATTGATAAATTAGGCTATTGGATGGGCCGACTCATGTTATATGCAATAAATAGAGTGGTTACATCGGTTGATAATTTTAGATTATCCGGCAAACGGCCTATCGGATAATCCGCATCGATCGGATTTCAGAGATACCACATCCACATCCGAATCCGCATAATATTATCCACATCCGCATCCATATCCGCTAGATTTCTAAAAATCCATATCATATCATTATTTTGGACGGATTCGGAGTATGTCGAATCCGTTTTCACCCCTAGTTTTACTCCCTCAAAAAATTTAACTGAAGCACTTAACCCCTGACCTATTTTTTTGGGTTCGTTTCACACCTTGAACTACTCAAAATGGTTCACTTTACTAACTAATGCTATTTCTCGTTTCCATTCTCTCTATATAAGGCTTTGTTCATTTGCTCCATTTGGAGAAGCTTTTCAGCCGTACACAAAATTATAAATTTAAAAATGGATATATTTGATTTTAAAAAAACTTTTACTTTTTTTTATAAAAACACATCGTTTTAACCGTTTAAAAAGCGTGCTAACGCAAAACGAGAAAGTTGTACTTTAGAGCTAAAGAAAAGAATAGGGTCTAAGTCATATTTTGCACTAAAATTTTGAAAGAATGATAGATGCATTATAATTGGCATCTCAACATTGCTTTTAGATTTTTTTTTCTCACTTTTTACATAGGTTGGAAACACTTAAAACTGATTTAAACATCAAGATTTTAAAGTTCAACCAAACAATCATAAAAATTTTAAAACTATTTATGAACTTAGATAATGGTGACATCTATGGCTTAAAAAAATTGAGCCTAGAATACAACTTGTATAAAGCGTAATATAAATAGAAATATTATCAATTAAAGACTGAAGTGAATCATTTTCAATAGTTTAGAGGTAAAATAAACCAAAAAAAATAGTATATGGGATTAAGTGATGTAATCAATTAGATTGGAGGAGTAAAATGGACTTTCTTTTCTATATTAAAAAACTCCATTTTACAAATTTTAGCTGTTGAGTATCCTTTTGAGTCAAGAATGCTTTAATCAGCTAAGTGAGTGTAGCTTAACTCGTTAGGTTTTCTGTGCTAGAATCAATCCGTCTCCTATGTTTAACACAGATACTTGTATTTACGACTAATTATTCTTTCAGTGGTAGACGATGTATTCGTTGACAACGAGGTATCCATAATAAATTCGCTAATTTTAAGATATGCCGATCCGGTTTTTCGAAGCTACTAGTAGGGATACGATCATGTGTGCATTTACGCGATGAGTGTGTGTTTTGTTATTAGTAACCGTGTTTTTTTAGAAAAAAAATGATTTAATGAGGCCGAGTTTAGTTCCAAACTTTTTTTTTAAACTTACAACTTTTCCATCACATCAAAACTTTTCTACATACAAAAACTTTTAACTTTTTTATCACATTGTTTCAATTTCAAGAAAACTTTCAATTTTAATGTGATCTAACACTCCCTTAGTTACTAAGGGATGCAACTGCAGCGAGAGCTATCTGCTGTCTCAATTACCAATTAATCCTGGTGTATCTTTGGCAGCTTATCCACCGGTGAGACGACCGGATAGGCTTTTGGTTCAGTTCGTACGCACACTGACATCCACGATGGAGACGCCCTCATGCACGCAACGCACACGCATGCCTATCTCCTCTCCTCTCCGTCCGTACGCATTGCGTCGTCAATGTTTATCCGTGCCATAATTACCAATGTTTATCCGTGCCATAATTACCGTAGTTACCACTCACACAGATCTACTAGTATGATCTATTCGATCTAGCGTATGCACAGCAACAAATCAATTCAATTATATAGTACTCACTCCGTTTCAAAACGTTTGACACTGTTGACTTTTTAATACATATTTAACCATTCATCTTATTAAAAAAATTGTGAAATATGTAAAAATATATGTGTACATGAAAGTATATTTAACAATAAATCAAATGATATAAAAAGAATAAATAATTATTTAAATTTTTTGAATAAGACGAATGGTCAAATACGTACTTAAAAAGTCAACGGTGTCAAATATTTTAAAACGGAGGGAGTACTATCCCCGAATTAAAACAACAGTCCAGAAAAACGGCAATGTAATTAAGTACTGATATTAAACTAACAGACGCGGTACGATGACACAGCACGAATAAATCGACATTGATTGAGAATGTGATAAACATGGGGCAAAAGATGAAAAAAACTAATACAATATATATCAGTACTTTTTTATAAAGATATGAGAGATTAAAATTGCGGCAATAACCATATGAAATGAAACACTCTCAATTTGGATTTGTTGAAACTAAATTAATTTCTACGGGAATCCCATGAAAATTAATTTCGATCCTCTTCCAAATTAAAGAAAACCTTTAAACAAAAATTATATTAACTATATACTCCTATATATAGCCGACACTTTTTTTAAAATACAGTACAAACGCAAGCGCTCATAACGCGTGACACTCACCCCTATGAAACGCATACAAGCACATCCTACCCTATAAGCACATTGATCATTATATCTAACATTGATCATATTTTGATTTTTTTTTTTGAAAATATTTTTATATTTTTCTATAAATTTGGTTAAATCTAAAGAAGTTAGACTTATATTGAAAATAAATTCAAAACGACTTATACTTACTAGCTATAAGTTCATGTATAATAATAATATTAGCACTACTCCCTCCATTTTAGGTTATAAGACGTTTTAATTTTGGCCAAAGTCAAACTGTTTCAAGTTTGACTAAGTTTATTGATAAATATAGTAATATTTATAATGCTAAATTAGTTTCATAAAAATCAATAGTTGAATATATTTTCATAATAAATTTGTCTTGGATTGAAAATATTACTACTTTTTTTCTACAAACTTGGTCAAACTTGAAGCACTTTAACTTTGATCAAAGTCAAAAAGTCATATAACCGATGATTGAGGGAGTAATATATATAAATAACTATAATACTGTCTCTATTTTTGTTGATATATAGTATCTGGATTAATTCTTATCGGAAAAAAGAAGGATAGCCGATGATTGACTGGATGGGTTCACAATCACATTCACACAGCTGCCAAAATAAGATTTATTTATATTTTTGTAACTCAACTTTTTCGGGCTGGCTGAGACGATGAGGCCTATCTGGATTCGGAGAGGAACAGGCAGGGATAGATACAGATACCCTTCCGCCCACGGAAACCATCTCTCTCTCTCTCTCTGCATGCATATCTTCTCCTCTTCTCTCTCTTTATTAGCCTCTCCATTTAATCCATCCATCCAACCCATCGCCTTCCCTCCCGGATCACCTGCGTGTATATATATATATAAGCTTTACCTTGCATTCCAAGCTTCGATCGATCCATCGATCGATTGATCAAATCTTGTGTGATATAGCACTAGTTTGATGCGTGCGAGATGGGCGGGATAGCTCGACGACGAGGAGGAGGAGATCAAGGTGGTGTTGCTGCTGCTGCCGGCGGCGACGGCGAGGCGGCGGCGTCCGGGTTCTCCAGCGGCGATTCGTCGGCGACGACGACGCTGCGGTCGCCGGCGTCGTCGAGCCTGACCGACGATGGCGGCGAGGTGACGTCGTGGACGTCGGCTGACGGTGGTGGTGGTGGTGACTACTGCTCGTTTTCGTGTTCGTCGGAGTCGGAGTTGGAGTTGGAGTCAGACGACGACGACGACGAGGAGGAGGAGGAGATGATGCAGCTGGATGGTGGCGGGCACGCCGCCGGCGGGCCGCTCTACGAGCTGGCGGCGCCGCTGCTGGCGCAGCTTCCTCTCAGGTACTTTCACACCGAGTGGTTTTCTAATTATTAGTTTTATTAATCTCCGAAATTGGCGAGAGTTTAGATGTTCTTTCATGTTTTGAGAGAGGTTGGAACCTGAAAAACTTGAGATCCTACTTGCTCGGTTTGCTCCAGCTGTTTTAAGCAAATTGAACAAAACTAGGTTCAAATTTTGAAAAAAAAAATGTTAGCCTTCCACTGTTACATAGGAGTAACTACTGCACAGGAGTATAAAGTGAAAATTTTGCCGCCGGAATAGCTGCCAGCTTTTGCATGTTGTATCAAAGCATTCTAATTTGAGTCTTCCATGAACTTAACATCTAGGAGACAGAGTATGCAAATAGTGTTCAATATTATTCAGTTAATGATCTCTGACAATTTAATCCCAATTGAACTTATCCTTTAGGTGACAAGAGTATGCAAATTGTGTTAGATGTTCTTGACTGCTCAGTCTATGATACTCTATCTGACAAGAACATTTCACATGCTACAGGACAGGGCTATCCAAGTACTACCAAGGGAAGTCCCAATCCTTCACATCGCTCTGCAACGCCAGGTGCGTCCAAGACCTTGCAAAGAAGACAACCCCTTACATCACCAGGATGAAGCTGCAGCTGCGCAGAGGCCATGGAGTCGTGGATCGGTTGTCGAATTCGCGTCGCGCTCCAGGGCCCTGCAGCAAGACGATGGCGAAGAAGGCGACGAGGTGCTCGTCCGATCGATTGCTGTCAAGAGCAAGGGAGCACAAGCCTCTTCACAGCAGCAGCAGCACACCTGCACAACAGAGCAAGAAAGAGCTGTCAAGATGCTAGTTGAAAGGCAGTACAGGGGTACTGAAAAAAAAATGGAGATGAGGTTTTTCAACAAAATGAACTCTTCAGCAATCAGCACTCAGCTGCACTGGAGCTAGAAATATAGAATGTCTCCAGGTCTCCTCCAAACGATGCTTTCAGAAGGAAGTTTTGCTCAGTTTTCTTTTCTTCTGTGGATCATTGTGTCATTTTACTTGATAAAATGGCTGAGCCGATGTTAGATACATCATGATCAAGCCAACATAATCTGGAGACATTTCATCAAGTTTGTACATAGATGCAATATTCATAAGATATATTATTTTGTCTAATACATAATTATTTTGACTTTGGGCAAAGGATACATTACAAAGCCATCATTGGGCATGGTCCCAAACCCCACTAGGGGTTCAACATGTCTAGAGATAAATCCTCGGCAATTATGTCCAAAGAATGATTCTTGAATTCATTACGAACTTAAAAGAAAGAGTAAAGGAGGTTCCAAGCGACATGACAGATTTTCTCCACTTTTCACTAATAAATTCAACTGATGAAATACATTGGGTTTGGAAGTTTGAAGGATCTCGTAGCCATTGGCAATCCCAATAAATCACTCCACTGATCCCCAGAATTTCCAAGTATCTTGAATCCCTCAGCTTCCAGTGCTGCTCGTCTTTCTGACTTGTACTGCACGGCTGTCTTGCCAATATCAGGGGATTGCCTGTACCAGAAACATCATTTCGATTAATGAAAAATGAGGTTGGTGCCTTCAATTATACTAGATGCACAAGTAACTTCTGCAGTTTCATGTTTTGCTGCCAGAAAAAAAAAACTATAGGATGCAGATCAGCCAGTATATCACCGAATTAAAATGTCAGTAACATTGACATGGGAAACATAACATTTGGAAGGGAAAGCAGGCACTTTGCCACTTCCAAATGGTGTATAGTAAATCAAATGGTGTATTGGGGAAACATAACATTTGGAAGAGAGAGCGGGCACTTCGCCACTTCCATTCATAATTAGTGTAGATGCCTCGGAAACATGGTGTATTGTAAATCAAATGGTACTTTGAGAAATATTGCCAACAGTTTAGTTAAGCGTAATAGTGTTGTTAAGGCAGTTTAAGGCAACCACTGCCTTAGCGCCATAGTGCTGAGGCGTAAGGCGTTGCGACGCCATATGAGATGGTTGAGGTGTGATTAGTTGGAGAATATGGTAGAGAAATTAGGAAGAAAAAAATAGGTATTTGGTAAAAGGCCCACAGAGCCAGGCAGCCAGCCCACCAAAGCCCAACATAGGTCTTCATACCCATGCTTTCTATGCTCTAAGAGGCATCGTACTCCACCAGGCACCAGCCGCTGCGACGAGGAAGAAAGTGACTGCAAGCCAACTAGGGTTCTAGGATGAACTTACCCCCTTTCTTCTTTCCATTTTTCTACTGGTTTTGCCTATAAGGCCTTCTTCTTTCCATTTTTCCACTCGTTTTGCCTCTAGCTCTCTAAGGCGGATGCAACATAAGGCGGAGTGGACACCTTGACCTATGCTACCACCTTATCACTATGGTGATGATATAGCAACGCCTTGATAACCACTAATAATCCCCTCTGGCAAGATGACCAATGGACATGATGATGTTTGATGTTATACAATAGTTATGTGTCTAAACTCTAAACTAAGAGAGGAAAAATTTCTTGAAAAAGATTAACATATTCATCACAACAGAATCTGAACTCTGTAGTTCCATGAAAATCATGCACCAGTCCTTACATTGAAGAGCAGTTCTACTGGTAACTACCGAAGGGTAGGTCATACTGAGTTGTTGACAAATTACAGGGCACCAGTTCAGAAAAATGTATAGTAAAAGATCCAATTTATCATTTAGAAGCAAGGGCCATCTATAAACTGTTTTGATCCAAACAGGAGACATCCTATGCAAAATAATTAATACTAATCCGTTTGCGTCAAAAATTAATACTAATCCGTAGCCAACTCATTGATTCAAGGGTTCTATGAAATACCTCAGGATGAGTTTTTCCCATGAATGGTAGCCTGCAAATAAAAGATTCACTTGTGTGGCGTTACGTTGGAATTCACTTCGACCGGTCAAGAGGATGATGTGGATCCCAAGACCCTGAAGCTCATTGTACAGTTTCAAGCTGGCTGGTAATGCAGGTGCCTTTGCTACATCCACCCATTCATCAAATGAGGTCTCGTTGAACTCTAGTGATCTACAAATCAGAGGAAGCATGAACAAAAATGAGGCAGTGATATTTTTCAGTAGAAATATAAACATGATTAACACTTCAGAAAGAGAGAGATTATACAATCCCTTCAAAACAACAAGATACCAGTTTGTTTTCTTTAACTCCATGATTTGAATAAAATTGATTACTATTTCATTAGAAAGCAATGAGAGCTGCTACACATACAATGTTTGCTTACGATATCCTTACGACCAAACATTTCTGTTAACAGCTGCATGTTCCAGTCCTAAGAAGACGTTTTCTCTCCTAGGTGGATGGCACACGGCGTTAGATCGTAGAAAGATTGTAACCAAAAACATTGTACGCATAGTATTTTCCGAAAGGAATACCATGTCGCACGATATTCTAGAGGAAAGATTGTAAGCCTACCGCTTAAATCCAATTAAATATAGTATAATCTTTTGATAATTATAAATGACTAGAATCACATATCTTGTTGCTATGTGGGATACTAAAACCAAATCCACCACAGAATGGCAGTTGTGTTGGTACTTGGGCACATTATCTAACCAAATAGTGCCACATGCTAGAATACCAGTATCAAGAATAGTTTTCACCGATTAATACAAATAGTTTTCACATGATCTCAGTTTACACGAGTAGCAAAGCACACAGAATTTTCTTACTACCCTTTCAATCAGTGGTAAAATTTCCCCAGTAAATACGAAAATTGCAACTCGTTGTTTCGCAAATCGCTTCAATTTTGTGCATGAACAGTAAAGGAAAGGGAGAGAGATGCAGGGTGAGTGTACCCACCCCCAGCCGTTGACGGCGTAGTAGGGCGCGTTGGTGAGCAGCGTCTCGTCGACGTCGAACACCCACGCCGGCCTGGCCCCCCCGCCGCCCGACGCCAGCGCCCGCGCGGCGAAGGCGAGGGAGTCCGCGGCGGCGACGGCGGAGTCGGAGGCGTAGCGCTCCCCTTCCATGTAGGCGCGCACGAACTCCAGGCACCGCGGGGGGATGGCGGTCCACGGCCCCGCGTTCCCCGTCTCCACCGACAGCCTCCATCCGTCGCAGTACAGCTCGTCGGAAGATTCTCCACCCCCGCCGCCGCCGCCGGAGGACACTCCCGTGGGGACGCCCGTCACCGTGCGGAGAACGGGCTCGGCATCCGCCGCCGCCGCCGCGAGGAGCGCGAGGACGAGGAGGAGGAGGCAGCGCATCGTGGGTGTCGAGAGGGTGCCGGCTCGCCGCCGGCGAGGTCTCAGGAACCGGCCGGCGAATTTGGGGGGGGGGGGGGGAGGAGGAGGTGGCGGTGGTGGGCCCGGCGGGGGATATTCCGATGGGGTTCGCGGCGGGGGGGCTCTCGTATAAAAATGTAAAAAGAGTGGGTTGGTCACGTGGGACCCTGTGACCAGTTTCTTGCCGTCTCGCCGACAGCTTGGGCCCACGGATTGTGTGGGGGCACATTTGTCAGTGAGCGGGTGGCGGGAGTCACGCGGTTGTTTCGTCCCGCTGCTGGTGGGCCCCGCGGAGATGGACAAATTATCCGATGTACTGATCGGCACGCCAGTGGGATTGGTTGAGTCCTTTTGAGATTTTTTTTTTAAAGAAAGAACTGGATTGGTTGAGTCACTCCTCAGTTCACCTTGCACGGTCCCAAAATATCTAGGATCCATATAAAAATATAGCGACATATTTTTAGGTAAAATATATCAAATATAATTACAATATAAATATATACAATTACATATGTAAATAGTATAATTACATATATAAATTAGGGACTTACATTATAAATATATTGAAATTACATTAGTAATTAAGAGACTAACGACGTAAATACATGCTTACTATTTTTTTTTATTTTATGAAAAGTATGGCGACACATTTATAGTAAATCTGAATAAGTTATCTTGTAAACCGTAAAATGTGTTCCAAAACAAGTTAACTTATAGTCTCCTATCTTCCACAAATCAATAAGTTTTATATCGTAAAATATTTTAAGGGCTAAGGGCCGCATAGAATTCTCTGGTACGAGGATCTACGTAGTACAATATCAAGCAGACAAAAGACAAGGATTATACTGGTTCAGGCTCCTTGATAGGTAATAGCTCTAATCCAGTTGGTATGAGATTATATGATAGAAACAACAGATTACAAAGGGAATAACAGAACTCGATAATACTGACGAGACCGTAGTCGAGTTGGTTTGACTAAATCCTCCGGCGACTTGGCTCCTGTATACTCCGACTTCGTAGGCTATGGTGGATGTGTTGGCGGTGATATCCGATGCCTTATGTCCTGCCCCAGGGGGTCCCTTTTATACCGCGGGTCAGTTGATCTTCAAGTAGGACTCGGAGATATCGGACCCCTCACGATATGGTAAAGACCCGGTCTCGTCCGAGTAGGACTCCTCCCATCTATGGATTCTGTTTCTATTACGTGATAGATTTCCTTAACGTATACAGGAACTATCGTATACGCGCGGGTATACCATATCAGTATACAACGTATATCCAAAGATAGAGAGTATACCTTATCCGTAACCCTAACAAAAATCATATTAATCCATTTTTGAAAAAAAAATTAACAAATACTTGATTAATCACGCGCTAATCGCTGCTCCGTTTTCCGTGCCGGGGAGTGAGGTTCCCAACCCTCACTCCCGAACAAAATCTAATTAGGCTCAAAAGATTCTTCTCGCGATTTACATGCAAACTGTGAATTAGTTTTTCTTTTTATCTATATTTAATACTCCATATATATATATCCAAAGATTCGATGTGATGTTTTTGTGAAAAGTTTTTGGTGAACTAAACAAGGCCATAAAAGACTCAATGGATCTTCTTTCTAGGCCTCGTGATGTGGCCCAAGTTACCTTGGACCTAGGTCCATCCTACCCGCTGATGAGCAGAGTAGGGGCAAGGATCGTATATTATCTGCAGGTGATCTCATAGGCCCCAAGGTATGAAATGCCCAACTAAAAAAAGCCAATTTCAAAACTATATACCCAATCAATTCATTCCAAGTGTGGATGTATATAGACAAACACATGCATGCACGCGTGCACACACACATGCACACATAAGCTTAATTAACCCTTATTTTTCTCCTCGATTCTACGTCTAGACGCTGCAGCAAGAGGTAGTGACGCAACCAAGATCGCTGGAGGTTGTTCCTCTATGCTGGTGCCCTGTACCACACCGGTTTCCCCCTTCCTTACCATCTGGCTCTTCGCTGTGTCGCCTCTTCGTCGTCGTCGCCATGCGGCCTCTTCACCTCTCCCGCTCGTTGCCTCAATGTCACCACATCACCTTTGCACCGTGCCTCCTCATGCCACACTACCTCGTCATCTAACTGCCTCGCCACCTTGTTGTCGCACTTGCTTGTCCGGAGGATCATCGCCATGCGGGTGCGGAAGGGGCTCATAAGGGCCAGCTGCGGGGATTGATTTCCACCCTCTGTTTGCTTTGTGGCCAGGTGTAGGGATTGACTTTGGGGCTACAGGGCTAGGTGAACTCGCATGGGATGACCAGATCAATTTATTTTGGGACTGAGAGTGTAATGCATATTTGTTACTTCTAAATTGTACCTTCATCCTAAAATATTACCACCTACACTACTGGAAAAGTGATTTTTATTTCCGATTTGCAACCCCCTTTAGTCCCGGGTTGTAAACCGGGACCCGAATCTAACACTAAAGATGTCCATCTTTAATCCCGGTTAATAACACCAACTGGGACTAAAGTTTTTTTTTCCATTGTTTTTTTTTGGCTGCTTGCATCTATTGATTTTGAGCCGAACTCAGCGCCATGCCCCACAGTTGCTCCTGACATCCTCAAATCATCCACAACAACAAAATTATCCCCAAATCACAGATCGAATAAACATATGTACTAACAACAAAATCATCCACAAATATTGTTTTTTTTGCTACTTGCATGTTGATTTCGAGTCAAACTCGCGCCATGCCCCACATGAGTTGCTCCCAACATCCCTGAATCATCCACGAGAATGAAATCATCCCCAAATCACAGATTGAATGAACATATATACTCAACAACAAAATCATCCACAAATTAAGAGGGGAAAAGGAAAAAAAAGAAAGAAAGAAAAAAAAATCCGGTGGTGGTAACGCTCCCACCACCGTGGGCAGCCGTGCCACGACGACCACCACGGCAGCGTCACCGGCAAGGGGACGACCCCGCCGCCGCCGCGCCCCTGGAGGCCGTGCGCGAGCCCACGCCACTGCAGTGCTTGGGGAAGGGGAGGAGGGGGAGGAGGAGGGGAGAAGAAGATAAGGATAAGGGAGAAAGAGAGATAAGGACGACGCGCAGATCGAGTCCCTCCCCGTGCGCAGATCGAGTCTCTACCAGATGGAATACATCCTAGTACTACGAACCTAAATAACCTCATGTCCATATTTGTAGTAATAGGATGTGTCTCATTTAGTACTAGGTAGCAATATTTCGGGACATAAGTAGTAGTGATAATGGAGCAGGTTTTCTCCGTCCACAAATATAAAGGCTTTTTAAGAGATTGAGGATGAAGGGAGAAAACCCATAAAAGCCTATGAACACAATATTTTTTTAATAATAGAATTCAATCCAGTAGTTGCTTCAAAGAAGTTACAACGACGAGGGTGCGGGTCGAAAGACTGAATTAAAAATCATAATTTGATTAAAAATTTTAAAAAAACTACTTAGAACACCAACTAAAAAAAATAGCACTATGCTTCCATCTATAGTTGGCGAGGACTACTTAACTGTTATTTCTCTTGTCTTCAAAATTTTTACCCACAATTGATTGCCATTCTCTACACTCCCCTGTAATAGGTATCGGGTGGCAACAATAAATCAGGAAGAAACAGTAGTAGAGCAATAATACATGAAATCTTAATGGCAAATATTTAAATGTCACTTATTATATGTAAAAGGACAAACATATGGTCCAAGTATGCAGGTGCTTGTCTCCATGTGGTTTCTGAGATTGAAACGATGGATCATGGAACTTGGAAATTGCAGCACAGAATGCAAAAGTTTCTTTTTTTTAATAAAGGGTGTGTTTAGTTCACGCCAAAATTAGAAGTTAATTTGGTTGAAATTGGAACGATGTGACGGAAAAGTTAGAAGTTTATGTGTAGGAAAGTTTTGATGTGATGAAAAAGTTGGAAATTTGAAGAAAAATTTTGGAACTAAACTCAGCCAAAACCATCTTCATCATACTATTCAGATTATTCTTTGTAAAAGGACAAACCTTAGAAGGTTACACGCAGATTCTTTAAGCCCCATTTGGTGCATTCTCATTTTTCCGGATTACCGTGGAATCGAATCGTTGCTCCAAACAAGGATTCAACTGAATAATTACCATGGAAAAGGGATTCTTCAAGCCCCAGTTGGATGGAACCTGTAACATCTATAATAATCGATTGTAAACTTTTTTTTTTGACAATTATGGAACCTGCAACATCTATAAACTACTTTTTTTTTTTTTGACAATTATGGAACCTGCAACATCTATAAACTACTTTTTTTTTTTGACAATTATGGAACCTGCAACATCTATAAACTTTTTTTTTTACTTTTTTTTTTGACAATTATGGAACCTGCAACATCTATAAACTTTTTTTTTTTGACAATTACACAGTACATCGACTTTTTTTTTTGACAATTATGGAACCTACAACATCTATAAACTACTTTTTTTTTGACAATTATGGAACCTGCAACATCTATAAACTTTTTTTTTACTTTTTTTTTTGATAATTATGGAACCTGCAACATCTATAAACTTTTTTTTTTGACAATTACACAGTACATCGAAAGCACTGAAAGCACAACACCGTTAAATCCTGGAAAATTCGCTCCCTTGGGGAGTCGAACCCAGGACCTCAGGTGCTACTGAAGCTCTTGTAACCACTAGGTTACAGGCCCTTTCGCAATCGATTGTAAACTTTTGAAGCAACTACTGGATTGAATTCTATTATCTTAAAAAATAATACAAAATGAAGATCTCTGATACCACAAAGATCCGTTCCATCCAAAAGTCAAAGCAAACGCGCGCGCTCTCTCTCACACACACGCGAAGTCCAAGCTTAAAGATCGGTGGACGGAGAAGTAAGAAAACAAGGATCAAAATGAATCTCAAGTTAACACAAGCCACGCGCTCAAAGTTTCCATTTATAGCCACATCCGTATATTTGCCCGTTGGAGGCAAAAGATTTCATTTTTGATAAAAAACAACAAATTAATCAAGTAAGTTTCAAAAGGAAAAAAAACAAATCAAGTGGCTTTTCAGATCAACACATGATAATTGCAGTTTTCATTAACGAAATTCACGGGGTGTCTGCAACGATGCGGATTAAGCACTAACAGAGTTCCG